TCTTCCAGCCGCCTCCCCGACCGCGAGAAGGGCGCCCGCCGCCATCGGAGCGGCTGGAGATGCCCGCGGAGGACGGCTTGGCGAGAAACACACAGACGTGCTGCAGTTCTTCTGCGAGGAGGACCAGACGCCGATCTGCGCGCACTGCGACCGATCCCAGGAGCACCGCGCTCACACCATCTTCCACGTCGAGAGGGCAGCCCGGGATTACAGGGTAAGGGCAGTCAAGGGGCCCTCCGTCTAACCCCCCCCCCCGTCCCCTTCGTTTTTAGACAAGCCTTTTGTATTTTTTCTGGGTGCTGTGGAAAATTATTTATCGGAAATGCATGACAAAAACAGCATCTGTTAAAATTCTGGTTTCCAGCTTAGGATGTGTTTTCCCAACATTGTAAAATAATAACGTGGTGATGATTTAATAGAGCCACCCATTCCAGAGGATTTGGCAGCTTACACAATATAATACTAAATTAAAGCAATTAAAAACATAAAATGAAACAAGGTAGCCTGCGCTAAAAACAACCATTAAAACAAAGCACCACAGCCGCCCCCCCCCCAAACATTAACCCCAGACCTGGTACCAAAGCCAGGTTTTAAGAGCTTTTTGGAACCCCAGGCAAGCAGGTGCCATTTGTATCTCTTGGATGCTGTCCCAGGGGGCATGGACTATGACAGAGAAGGCACACTTCCTAGGTGCCATAAGATGACAGCGTTTAATAGAAGGTACCAAAAATGTTCTGTCCAAAGGTACCAGCCAGCCAGAAACAATGGGAGAAAAGCGGTCCCTCAGGGAACCAGGTCCTATGCCATGAAGGGCTTTAAAGATAACAACCAGCATCTTGAATTGCGTTCAGAAGCCAACTGGCAGCCAGCTCAGCTCACTAGCAGTAGTGACACACGGGCACAGTGAGAAATGCCCATGACTGTTCATGGCACTACATTTTGAACCGGCTGTAGCTTCTGGGTGATCTTTAAGGGCAGCCCCATGTAAAGCACATTGCAGTAGTCCAATCGTGAGGTGACCAGGGTGTGAGTGAATTGTAAATTGATAGTATGGTCCTTTAAGTGTTAATTTGACCAAGCTACCTCCTGTGTTGACAGGAAGGTTACAAATAAGGGTGCCCAGCAATCTCAGAAGTGCTAAACACGTTTGTGCAATGATCTGAAAGGCTAGAGACTGTTGCTATTTATCTTTATTTGACTTGTTTGTTTACGTTATCAAAGTATCTGCCTTCTGGGCCAAGTATAGCAGCAGCAATTGCCTATCAAGCTACTAATCTTTAATGTTCCCTTTTTATAGCACTGAAAGCTAAGATGCATACAGTTCATATGCACATTAGTATACCACATGGAATGCACAACATCTTAAATAAGCATATTTCCATTTGTAGCTTAATCTCATACATTCTATACTGATTGATCTTAACATTTACTATATTTTCTTCTGTTCCTTTAACAAGACTGGGTTCAGAAGAGAAATTCTTGTTTTGTTATATTTGTTTATGCTTGCTCCACTATGTTCTTATAAGTTAGTGGCCCCTGGTTGACCTAAGCATTAGGCCTTAGTGCTTGGTTGGGAGACTATTGTACACTAGTGTCTGATGGGTTATTTTTTTAAAAAACTACTTTTACTTCACAAATTTATACAAGCATCTGAAAATTCAACCATCAGCCACATTAAGCTCTGGAAGAACATTTGCACCACAGGTGGTCCTCGGGTTACTAAAATTAGCAGCTATTCAAAGTTATGGCAGTGCTGAACGAATAATACTTATGCCTGGTCCCCGAAGTTATGGCTGTTGCAGCACCGCTGCAGTCACGTGATAAAAATTCAGGTGCTTGACAACCCACCAGCACTTAGCACCAGCAGAAGTGCTTCAGTTCTCCCCACCCATTTATCTCCCTCCCCATCACTGCCCTTTTGGCCACGCTGCACAGCAGCACTCTTCTGCAGGAGCAGTGGGGCTGGGGCTGCAGTAGAGGCCCAGGGCCTTCAGCAGTCTCAGCTGACTGCCACTGCCTCTGGGCCTTGACTTCACCCCCAGCACCACCACCGAGGAGTGCCGCCTCAAGCCCTGTGCCACGCCCAGCTGCCACAGTGCAAAGCCCCCACAGCCCTGTGCTCCACAGCCCCTGCCGCACTCAGCTGACCGCAGCCATTTTCCTCCTGCTGCAGACGAGGTGCACCTCGTCTGGCCCTATGTGAGGCAGCTGCTGGCCATGCCAGGTCTTTTTCCTGAGACTGCTTGTGCTGTTGTTGCAATACTTTGGAGGGCCTCAGGTCACCTGGGTGTGGTGGAGCCTGCAGAGCTCAGGGCAGTGGGAGCTTTGCACTGGGGTGGCTGGGCACGGCGCAGGACTTGAGGCAGCACTCCTTGGTGACACTGGGGCTGAAGTTGAGGCTCATGGGTGCTGGCGACTGGCTGAAACTACTGAAGGCCCCGGGCCTCTACTTCATCCCCAGCGCTGCTGCTACCGCTGAAGAGTGCTGCCATGCAGGGCGGCCAAAAGGGCAGAGATGGGGGGGAGATGGAGGCAGAGGAGGCAGTCCTTTACTTTATTAAGGTTCAGGGCTGGGAAAGACCAAACTGGGAATGGCTTGGATCGGGATGGGTCCTTGCCTAGCAACCAGTGGGATTTGGTTAATGACGGCAGTGGGGAATACTGGGATTGCTGTTGCTAAGCAATATGGTCACTACCTACAACTTATGGCCTTTCCCTGTTCAAAGTTTATTTATTGAAGTTTTGAATCTGAGACTCCTAAAATTCAATATTTTCACCACACCCTGCTGTTCAAGAAAAATAGACTCCCATTAACTGGCCCAGTTATCACTTGGGGGGAAAAAAGGCTGATAACCTCTCTTTGACAAGAGTCAACATTTCTATTTTGGTCTGTTTTTAGTTCTAATTAAGTAAAAGCTGCAGCTGAATGGGGTATTGTGAGCTCTGGTGTCTGATATCAAGGTTTTGTGTATTCCATTGGTAATCTCAGTGTGCAAATATGGGGTTGGATACAGGTAGAATCAGTGGCATAAGGCCCTTGGGTTGTGCTAATGAAGCAGGAGTTAGCTTTATGTCTATCACCAATTATGCAGCCTAAAAAGCCAAGAGCACTGAAGCTAGTGGGGATGGGAAGACTTCAGTATTCTGCATTGTACACATATCCCTTTTGGATAGCCATTATGACACTGTTTGTAATAGATAAGCAATATTGGCCCAACAACATTCTAATCTATACTGCAATTATCTAGTTCAGTCTTTCTCAACCTGGAGGACCCTTGAAATAATTTTCAGATCTCAAGGATTTCAGCATACAAATTATTATATCTACAACTAGCATTGTGTGGCCTGCAAAGTCAATCACGATCTCTTGCTGAACCCCTAGCGACTTCTCGGTGAACCCCAGTTGAGAAAGGCTTATCTAGTTTGTGTGCAGACCCATCCAGAGTGCTTCATTTATGGATTAGTGTGTTGTGTGAACTAGCCAGTTGAGGTAATTCAGTCGATCAAAGATTAGCATATTATATGAACGCAGCCTGCCTATGCTATAATTTCCAAGGTCTTACTGCCTCTAATCTTCTTCCTCCTATCTCAAGCCATTTTTATTTATTCAGGAGCGGGTTCAGGCACAATTAGAGATTCTGAAGCAAGAAAAGAACAATCTGTGGAGTCAGAAGCTGACAGGCGAGAAGAAAATCCAAGAATACACGGTGGGTGCCATTAGCTGTCACAAGCAGAGATGCTAGGCTTGAATTTATGGGTCAGAATGAATTCACTCCTCTGGGATTCCTATTCCTTTTAAGTGAAGGAGGGAACGGTTCTAACTCCTATCTTATAATGCAAGTAATGCGGTGATTGAGTTCAGACATGGTGCTAAGGATTTGCTTTGGTTTGGCTTAGTGTGATACACAAATCCAGCTACTCAATTCTGTAAACCTTGACAGCATAGGTCTGTATTTAGCTTGTGCAGTTACTTGATGACAGCACCTTTAAATTTAGACAAGTTTAGGAGCAATCGTATGTATGTATGTATGCATGTATACAGAGAAAAGATTGTGGGGAGGGGAGACAGTTGTTTTTATATTTTTGGGGACTGGCAGTCTTGTAAAACAAGATTATTTAGCTGTTTGCCTAAAGCAGTGTTGTCCAAACTTGGCCACTTTAAGATGAGTGGACTTGAAGTCCACTCATCTTAAAGTGGCCAAGTTTGGACAACACTGGCCTAATGGATGGCCTGTTTTCTGCCGTCCAGTGGCAGACTGTGTGACAAGTAGTTGACAGTCTAAACAATATTCTGAGTTTATCACACTGGTTGCCCTCTGTAGTTGGGCCCTATTTATTAGATGAAGAGGCCATTTGCCTCAGATAGTAGCCTTTCAGGGGCTGAAGAAGCAGGTTTGTAGATGCTAAATGGTAGCCAAATGTGATTTTTAGTAGCTCCAGGTTCACTTGGCAGGGGAAGAAAACATATTGGGGATGATGGGGAGTGGTGGGGAGAAGGGTGATACTCATATGAAAAGGAAAGGTCCAACTTTAGAAAATGCCCACATGTTCTTCACCCACCCCCAAAACCCCCGCAAAAATTCTCCTTGGGTGTTTTGATTATCCCTTTTCTTTCAAAATTTACAATGGCCATTTCTTTTGTGTCTGCACTGTCCATTGTGCAGCAGCTATAACACAGCCAGTTTTGCATTCTGGGTCCTTCAGCCTGTAATGATATTCTGGTTATATGCCTCACTGGGAAGGTTCCCTGTGCTCCTTTCTCATCCTGCCTCTGGTCCTTACAGGAAAAGGTTCAAGCTGAAAGAAAGGACATCGTAACTGAATTTGAACACCTGCATCAGTTTCTGAAAGATCAGGAGGAACGCCTGCTGACCCAGCTAGAAGAACTAGATAAAGACATAGAGAAGCAGAAAGATGACATGCTGACCAAACTCTCGGAAGAACTTTCCCGTCTTGGTGATGTCATCACTGAGATGGAGATGAAGTGCAAGCAACCAGCGAGTGAATTTTTGCAGGTGAGGCTTTGCGATCACAAAGATCTCTCTTTCTGGCTTGGAGGTGAGCTTAGCGATGGGTCAGAGGCCCTGGCATTGTGCTCCCAAGTCACTGGATGTGAGGTTTGTGAATTCCTGGCCCTCAGACGCAGTTGGTCAAATGTGAGCTTGGATGTGATCCCTACTAGAACCAGCGCAAGGATTCATTCATTTATTCCTTAGAAAAAAATCTACATATTGGGGACAGTGGGGTACAGGCCACAGACAGGTAATGGGGGCTTTTCTGAAGAGTGTCCCCCCTTCCCTTTCTACTCTGCACAGGTGCTGGCATTGGCCCTTCTGGTTGATGTGGCTGTTCATGATGAACCCAGATTAATTCAGTGCTATGGGCGGGAGTATTTCCCACCCTTGTGGAGTGTTGTGAAACTGACCTTCTATGGGAAGATGAAGGGGGACCTTACTAGGTTGGTCTGTGCTCTTGTGGAGTGCCCTTGGACTTCTACAAGGGAGAGTTGGAGCTCTGTAGCTCCTCCCATTGCGGAATGCTATGACACCATAGCATTCTGCTGTTGGCAGATGTACTTCCAGGTCCCTCAGCCTGACCTGAAGGCTGTTGAGAAGCTGGCCTGGATGACCCCATTCCTTCAGGTTCATGTCGGGACCCATCGGGTATGGCTGCCATGCAGACCTCTAGTACGTACTGTCCTGTTAATACGGGTTCTCTCAAGGGTGCTTGGGTTCTTGGGCTGCAGCCGCTGCAGTTACGGGATGGGATTAGATGTTGCTCCTGACGTTCGGTCTGTGGAATAAAGCGGATGAGTGCATGCCGTCAAGGATACAAGGGTGGGGGGAATTAACTTGTGTATATAGTGAACAAGCGGGGTTTCTTTTGTGGAGAAGAACAAGAGGGTGTTGTGGAGTATGTGTGCCTGCAAAAAAGCCTGCATTTTCTGGGATCTCCTTAGGGTCTTCCTGTGGTCCACTCCGTGGCGAACAACATATGTAGCTATTCCAAGGATGTGAGGCTGGTTTATTTTAAAAATCGAGCAGCACCTCCTGCGCACTTGATCTCTTGGCACAGAATCCTTTTTTTTTTTTTTAATTATTTTGCAACCAGCTTTCTGATCACAAGCAACAAGGACAAGATTTTTAGGTAACCTGTGACGTGCAGAGAATCTCTCTGAGGCACTACGGGTGATGGTGAAGAGGCACCGTGATCCTGGGATGGGGCATTGTGGGGGGGCCCTTTGGGGTCCTTCCTTCTGGGCCTGGGCTTGTGGAAGCAAGGCACAGTTGCCTCGGTTGGGCTGAAATAAGATGTGCCCTCCTCTTCATTAGGTGTGCCTACCAGACAGCACACTTAGATGTCATGTGGGTGGTAAAGCAAGGTATAGCTGGTGGGCAGGCCCTGGAGGGGGCGCAAAGCCAGCCTGCTCACTGGCAGAAAGGGTGGGCGGACAGTTCGGGGAGGAGAAGGCTGCTGAAAGAATTAGGGCAGCCCTTCTCCTCAGAGAAACAGTTGCAGCACCAGGGAGAGCAACGTGGCCCGAAGGCTCCCGTGTGTAACCGGAGCATCCCCCACCTCTTGTCTTGAAGCAAACACCAGATGTTCCACCTCGGGGATTACAGGTAAGAGCCTGAGGGTGACTGGGGGGGCAGGCTACTTCCCCCTGCCTTGTAAGCACCCGAGGCTAGAACAAAGCTTCCACCTGTCATGCCTTGGACAGCGCTCATGGAGTCCTCAGCAGCCCGAGACAAGGGTGCTGAGGCATGCTCCCCGTTAGCCAGTGATGTACCGCCGGTGTAGAGCATTGTGAGGCTCAGTGTCTTTTTTCTTTTCTCTTTTTCTCTTCCAGGACATTAAAAAAAACATGACCAGGTAGGTGTGGTTCTCCTCCTCCCCCCCGCGCTGCCTGCCCCTTCCCCTTGGCCGTAGTGTTCAGCGGGGTCTTCCATTCTAAAGCGCCATTCTTGGGTTTTGTAGACAAAGGAAAGGTCACACTCGTTGCTCTTCCCTGCTAAAATCAGGGCAGTAGAGGTTCTTTCAGGGAAACAGAGTTGTAGTTCACATCAGTGGAACCATCTAGTCCCACCGGGAAAGTGGAAACATGGGCTCAGTTGCCATAAAGAGAGAGAAACGATAAATGTGACAAAGCAGGAAGATTTTTTTTTAGGATAGTGTCGCTGCCACTCTGCATTGGTAATGCTAAATAACACAGAGCATAATGTGCCATGAATTCTCCAGGGCACATATCAAAATAGATGTTGGAGTATTACAGAAAAAGTCCAGTAGTTTCTATTACTGATGTCATTTAACAGCACTCAAAAATCTGCCCTCTGAAGCAATGACATCTCCTTACATGCTTGAAATAGCATTTCTGGAGCAAGAAAGGCAAACACATCAATAAAAGTGAGGTGCTAGAATCTAGTATGCATTTTGCCTCATTCCTTGGGTTAGGATTCTAGGCTAGTATATTCTTCTTTGTCTAGTCTATAAGAAATACACAAGAAAAATGCACAGCATGACAAACTGGACTTTTTTTCATAAGTGGTGTAAATTTGCTCTTTAAAAATGCAGATGCACCGCAGGACAGTTTCAGCCGTCTGAGGAAGCGACATCCAAGCTGGAAGAGCGATTGGAGTTGTTGTCACAGAAAGGGGTGGCTCTGAAGGAAACTGTGAATAGATTTCAAGGTATGCAAAAGGGATTAAATAGTCAGTGAACTCTGACTGCTAACTCAGGTTACTGTTGGCCTGGTTAATTTTTAAAAAAATATACTCATCCTAAGACATTTTGTGTGCTATTTATTTATAAAAGGCTAGTCTTTAAATCTTGATTTAATGTGTTGAATGCCAGTTCAGGTAGGAGGAGCCCCTGTTTTACTTCTGGAAAATCTGTGATAAGCAATAAGGAAAAGGGAAGGTGGGGTTACTAAGCCTGCTGAATGTCATATCCTGCTGCCTTATGCTCCTAAATGAAAAGACAGGATATCGGTCTAACAAATAGAATCGTAAATAAGATAAAAGCCTGCATTGATTACATGTTTCTAAGCCAGCAGGACTAATGCATGTAACTTTCTGCAATCTGGGTGCCTCCCAGAATTCTCAGCAATGGTCCTGCAGGTTTTGCAATTCGGAGACTTGAAGTCCACACATCAGAGAACTGTGAGGGTGGGGAAAGCTGCCGTAAGTGAATGACTTTGGAGGCCTTCTGACCTCACACAAGAATCCTAGAGGAGGGTCGAATATTGCAACTTTCAGTGGAATGTTGCCAGGATTATACAAGTAATCCTCGCTTAACAACTGCCCTGTTTAGCGACTATTCGAAGTTACGAAAGTGCTGAAAAAGTAACTTTACAACCGGTCCTTGCACTTACAACCATTGCAGTGTCCCTGCAGTCACGTGATTGAGATTTGGGCCTTCACAACTGGCAGGTGTTTATGACTGTCACAGCATCCCATGTTCACCATTTGCAGGCTTCACAGGCAGCTTCCAATAAGCATAGTCAATGGAGAAGCAGTCAGTAAAATCGCAAGTTGTGGTAATGTGATGTCTCGCTTAATGACCGCATCACTTAGTGATGGAGTTACTGATCCCAATTGTGTTCGTTAAGCGAGGACTACTTGTACTGAAGAATTCTAAACGCTTGTGACAAAATTGAGTAGTAGTGTGTAGTACTGTGGGACAGCTTTTGGGAATCATCACTGTGCCCTTGAAGTCTCCTGACTTCATTTAACCCAAATCTAAATGGAAGAACACTGCACCATAATGATCTGCTGAAATCCCAGTACACTTGCAATGAGCATAAAACTTAGTGGCTATAGGCCCCTTAACCCAGGACAACAGTGAAGGTGTGATGACATGACAGTGATTCTTTTATCTTGGAGGACAGGGAGGGGAAAGTTAGAGTTTGATGTTTCAATTTTAAGTTGTCCTGAGTGCGCTCTCAAATTGTAATGCCCTCTAGGTGTGTTGGGGTCCAGAATTCCCAGGTGAGTTGGCCTCAGGGAAGTCTCAGCTCATCTGGAAGTTTGCACTTCAAATATGTTGGAACCAGATTGAGAAAAGGCTGATTTGCAGGGTGTACACACACACACACACACACACACCCCATTACAATGACATGGCAAATGGAAGCATTGAGTTCTTGTTACAGGGTTAAGTCAGAGTGTGATCAGGGGCAGGAGCTGTGGGAAAGGGATGAAGAAAAACAAAATGGTTCTGCAGGTTGAATGTGCTGGGAAAGTAAATATGGACGGAAAAGAAAGTTCAGCTATTAGAAGCCATTCAGTGGGCGACAGCTGGGGTGGCGGAATAGTTATTTGTGTGTGTGTGTGTGTGTGTGTGTTTATGTATATGTATTCCAAACATGTCAGCACCCATCTCACTGCAGTCACTCAGATCTACTCTGCTAAAAGCAAGTTGCATCCTCTGGAAGATAAAATAATGCTTTACTAACAGATTGATCAACTTTGACAAATACCTGTTTTCTCTAGATAATGTGACATATACCATCGAGAGAACAGACACTGTGAAATCACTGAATGATAAAGGTGAGTTTTCAGGAGACATCTATTGAGTTTGTAAGCATCTGTGTGTTCTTTGTTTCCAACGAAAGTTGCTTTAGCTACTGAGGATATATTGCTAATGCAGAGTGGGAAAATCATAAACATCACTCTTTTTATTCCAGTACTGTGTATAAACTAATGCAATTTCTTAACAAGGGTTATTCATCTCACATTCTTAATTATTTGACAGAGTATTTTGCCAAAGGGCTAATGATTGCAAGGTTATTAAGGATAGAAAATCAAAACTGTAAATTCAAGGGTTAGAAACAGCCGGAAGCTGGAGATTATAAAAACTAAAATACTAAAAGCATTGTGTGGAACTCCCTTTTATTTTTTAGCCATAAGCAGATTGGCACTTTGATTTTTTTCTCTCTCTCTCTTAACTGTGTGAATGAGACAATAAAAAACACTCTGCAAGATTGCAGACCTGGGACATATTGGCAGGTACGTGAATGAAAAGCAGGATGCTCTTTGGAGTGTGAGACTATTATCTGTAATACAGCTATCCTTTACTTGTAATACTCAGAGTCTAGATTGTATGGCTTTTGGGTGTAACAAGTTCTTTGAGTTGGATTTGAGGATCTTTGTCCCTTGCTTTAATCTGCTGGTATATCTAGTTCCATCTAGTGGCTCTCTAGATGGAACCCAAGATCACCTTAACTGGAGATGCAAGGATTTGTGGCTCAGTAGATAATTATGCAGGGGGTCTGCTGATTCCATGCGGTTGAGATTTCCAGCAATCCCAGCCAGAGGTGGAGTTGCATTGTTCCTGAATTTTGGGGAAGTTGCCAGAATAGCTAGTGATACACAGCAGAGATGTAGTGATACTGAGCTGAGTAAACAGGGCCACAAGCGAGCATCAGCAGTGGGGAAATAAAGGTGCTGACAAATGTTGCTTCTTTCTGCTCACAGAAAGTCCAGCTCTTGATCCGGATTTATCAAGTGCTCTTCTGCCCCTGGACCAAAGAAATGCAGGAGACGGAGGATCTCGGCACAGGCTGCCTGCCTTACATTATGTCCCTGACACTCCCCAGAGATTGGATTCCAGGGCTTTGGTTCTGGGCTGTGATGGGTTCACCTCTGGGAGATACTTTTGGGAGTTGGAAGTGGGTGATGGGGAATTCTGGGCCGTGGGGGTCACCCGAGATCCTTCCAAGAAGAAGGGGATGATGGACTTCAGCCCAGAGGAGGGAATCTGGGCTGTGGGGCTGTGGAAAGGCCAACACTGGGCCCTCACTTCCCCTGTTACGGCCTTGTCCCTGAGCAAACACCCCAAAAGAATCCGAGTGTCCTTGGACTACGTGGGGGAGTGTGTGACCTTTACTGATGCAGACACAGAGGACCCCATCTTCACGTTCCCACCTGCTTCTTTTAACGGGACGCGTGCCCATCCTTTGCTGTGGGTGGTAGGTTTCCCAGCCCAGACTGTCTTTCTGAGGCGTATGGGTATAAAATATCCAGTTGGGGTACATGAAATGGACATAATGAGTCCATGATTTTAAGCATCCATGTACCCAGAGAAAAAAATTTATAGATCTCTAACCTGCCAGATCGGAGCAGGGCATTGAGCCATTTTGAATTAAAGAAATTTGAAAGATTGGTTGTTTTAACTCTGCCTTGTCTACTGCAGAATGTGACCCAGAAGCAGAACGGCTTTCCTTGCACACCGAGGCCTTAAGAATGTTGCCCTCGGGGATAGAGAAAGAACTGGGAAGAGAAGGCTATCCTGGCCTTGACATGGTGTCCCTTTTAGGACACCATCTTTTGCCAAGGGATCAACATGACCCCTTTCTAGTGGTAGGCTCAAACTTTTTTCAGTTTGAAAAAAAGAAATTAGCTATTAAATTTTGCATTTTTAGCTCCTCTTCAATCAGTTCACATTTTGCGTTTTAATGATTTTATTTTAAAAATGACTGCATGTGTGTCAGCTGCAATACCAGGCAGCATGTTTTCCTTTGAAAGGAAAGGCTTTAACTCAATCCTTTGTGGTGAAAAATGTTTTGAATACCCTAGGCACAGAGATCCTAAATAAGCACCAGGTCTTGCATCTGTGGCAATTTGGACTGGGCGGTCCTTCCACTACACTGTAGGGTAGCTTCTCCTCTTTTGCTGCCATAAGTCTGAAACTTAATTTCACTCTTCCACGTCTTCGGTCTGATCCTGGAAATAAAATGGACAGATGTTTGTGCCATAATGATCTGGTTGTTCTGATTTTGAAGATGAAATATTCACAATGTCTGAAACATATGTAAAAGGAACCCTGGGGTTATGGTTGATGCCTACAGAATATAAAAATCATAATAAAGACTTAGTATGTTCTTTGGTATATTTCATATTCTGTTTTTGTAGTATCTCTTTTCTGTATGCATTTTTTTTTTTTTTGGTATAATTATGCCATGGCTGCTCATTGAGCACAGCATGTTTCTGTAAGAAGGAGCAAGTACCCAAAATAAAGCTGTGGGATTTTTTACTCATAATTTTGAGAAAATCAAGACCCGGTTTTAATAACGTTATTTTTCAGTCATATGCTTAGCTTGGGTCTTCCTGCGCTGAACAGCACCCCAGGCAAGGAGTATTTTCCAGTGATTTTGGTCAACAGTAGTGGCTTCTGCTTCAGTAATATGGAACTTAAAAAAAACAAAAAGTTCCAAAATACCTTAGTATGTATCAATCATATTTCCCCACTTTGACAGTGGATTTCAACTCCCAGCTGACCTACTTGATCTCAGAAAAAGCCAAGCATTTTTAAATCCCTGACTAAACTAGGAAGTGAAAAGAAAATGGAAATGAGCAATGGGAAACTCCCTTCATACGGTTGCAAAGGAAATTACATGAAGCTTTGCTGAGACAAGGGAGTCTTTCCCTTTTAATTGTGAAGAAAGTAGAGGGACATACACAAGCTATGAAACGTGGCTGTAGTCTCTGTTAATTGAAGCAGCCTTCCCCAACCTTGCACATATGGATGTGTTAGGATGGACTCCATTCTTCCATGGTAGAGGAGGATGGGAGTTGGAGTCCAGGTTATCCGTAAGGCATTAGTTGGAAAAGAGCATTCAAAAGTATTAAGCCAAGAGCCTTTTGGCTGTCATTTATGAGATCTGACTTCTCTAACCGGGCACGCAAGTCATTGTTTTACTTCTTGCTAATGCATTCATGGAATTGAAATATTCTGATGTCATCTCAGATACAAATTATGGGATGGATCAGGAGCCAGATTTTTACTTGGAACTGGAAGAAAAAACTCATGCCTCCTGGCTGCTGAGTTTCAGTCTAGCCAGTGCCTTCTATATTTCCACCAGTAAAGTAAAAAGTGCAAAAATTGATGCTCTGGCCTGCGATTTGTCTCCCCACTCTTATCGCCTCACCACATTTGCTTTGCAGCGAGGAAGATACAGAGAAACAAGTCTAGGATGCAGGAGGGGTGGGGAAGTGGCATTGGCTTTGGAGGACTTTGGGCTGGTGGGGGAGAAGCCCAGATAGTTTCAGCTCCAAGGTGTGTTCGGTGCAAATTCCAAAAATTCAATTCCAGGTCCAAAGTTATTCAGCATTCCCTGGGTGTCATCCCCCTGCCAAAGGAATAATACCTTGTAATGCAGTGAACTCAGTCCTTGAGTTGCACTTCCCTTCCACATAATTGGCTGACTCCATATTTATAGAAAAATAAAGCAAGCAAACAAGTATACGGTCCTATGTCAAACCTTAGCAGTCCCATCTCCAGAGCATGCAGCAACAGCATGGGCTTTTCTTGAGCTGCATATGAAAATGCAAACAACCGCTTTACTTCACTTATTCGCAAAGTCTTCCTCAGAGAGGTTGGCCTGTCAATACAAGGGTGTCCACAGAGGTCCGAAAGGTCAGATGGTAGCCATAACTCTGTGATTGAAACCTACTCCCCTTTTTACATGTGTCATCGTGCGTCCTTCCCATTTTTTTCCCTTGATGTGGGGGCATGGGAACATGGGAAAGTCCCTTGTTTACCCCAAGCTCCAACTCGTAGCAGGAGGAAGCTAGGACCTAGTATAATGGTAAAGACTCAGTGATGGTGTTAAGTGAAGGTTGGGGGAGGATCCACTTTGCAAGTAGATCTGAGCCATAAGCTGCTTGCATGATATACTATGTATTTATTAAAAGAACTTATATGCCACTTGAGTTGAGCCAATCTATGTGGCTTACCTGCATAGCAAAACACAAAAATAACTACAATCTAAAAAAGTGATAGGCATTCATTCCGTATTATAATTTCATAAAAAAACACATAATAAATAATAGTGCTATCCCTAATTCAGCATTTAATTATCACATCCCTAGTACCCAAATGCTGACTTGAATATTTATGTTTTTGTTTGTGAATACAAATTTTCATTTTTATTCCTAGTTCAATTTTCTAGGCTGCCCAAACTTCAACAACCCTGGATGTCTTGATCTATAAAAATAATTACAAAAAAATCCAACATAAAACTCCAAAAGACAGCATCGTCTGGTAGGAATGATAGCCAATTCTGTCCCCCACCCATGGAGAAGACCCCCTTCCAATCACCCTAACCCAAAGCCTGGGGGAAAAGCCATGTTTTTAATGCTCTTTTAAAGGCCAGTAAGGTGGGACTAATGAGAATCTCTGGGGGAATGCTGTTCCCAGAAGGCCAGGAGCCTTCTCCAGAAATAACAAACAGATACTGCATGCTGAGTTTACATACCAGCTAAATTTGATCTAGACTCAGGCTAAGATGTTTGGCATCATTCAGGACAGCAGATGCACTGTTCTGGCTGGATTTTTAAAAAATACATAGAAAATATGTACTTGCCATCTGAAGTGTCATTTCTTTATTCTTTCTTGTCTCAGGCACAAATCCTAGGGATAAACATGCAGCATCTATCAATATTCACATTAGTACTCCGATGACTAACCACGGTGGGGGAATAATATAGCTGTCCAGAGTTGCTTTGTATGAGATGGGCGGCTATATACATGTGCCATATAAGCCTGATTTTGCTCTGTTGCTTTTCTGCAAGAGGTCAAAATGCATTCTTGCCTCAAAGGAAATTCAAGAGCTCTTCTAGAAAGAGAACAGGAGGAATTGATGGCAGCCTCAGCCAAATACATGGATTGACAAGCTTTGGCCATTGGTGGGACGAATGTTGATTTCACTGTTGAAATATTTCAAAGCACTCAGAATAGCTCAGGATATATTAGCTTGGGTCAGCAGTTTCAACAATAGCCCTGCACGAAGGACCAGCATTATAACACTGAGACAGGGAGAAGAGCAATTTGTCTAAAAGAGTGCTTCTCAACCTCCGCTGGCTGGGGAATCCTGGGAGCTGAAGTACACACATCTGAAAGCTGCAGAGGTCGAGGACCACTGGTCTCAAGCTGTCTAGGCAATGTATCAGAATTTAATTAATTTTCTACTAATTCTCTTGCTTCCAGTTTATACAACTGTCAGACCCAGTTCTTGAATTCAAAGAATTAGAAATGGGTGCATCTGAGGTTGTGCAGAATGTTTTTCATCACTTGGAAACACTATCATAGCAATGCAACGTTAACTGTGATGTGAATGAAGGCATCCATCTTCAGAATTTTTCTTCCTGCTCTGTGTATTATTGTAATCATCTGAAAATGTCATACGTTTAAAATCAGTGCAAAATCAAGTTAACTTTGGTGGCTGTGGTGAGTTTTCTGGATCTTTGCTAATGGCTGATTATTTAAAAACAAGTTTATTCAAGTGGGCTAGCCAGGACAACTTCTAGGTCAGAGGGAATGGCTTTGTTGGCAAGCTGAAGCTTCTCAGTGCTAATGTTAGAAATGAATCTCTGTTCTCATCTCAGTCAGGACTGAAAAACAATATCAGTCATGTGGAATCTGGAAACATCCCTTTGGTCTCTCCAAACCGAATGAAGCCCCCTGCTCTGATTTTCCTTCTCTACACTCTAAAGAGCATTTCTCATCCTGTCTAGAGGCTGAATCGTTGCCAACGTAAGAAACCAGAAGCTTCCGAGATGACCTTGCAACACCAGCTGGCTTCTGGCACAGGAACCCCTGCCCTGTGTTTCGTGCCCAGCATTCGCTCTCTGTATGCTGCAGGGAAAGCAGGAAGGGGAGAAGGAGAAGGGGATATCGGTGCAGCCATGGCTGCCGTCTTCCTCCCAGGAAACCTTCAAGATGAAGCCACTTGCTCAGTTTGCCTGGAATATTTCAAAGACCCCGTGTCCATCCAATGCGGGCACAATTTCTGCCGGGCTTGCATCACCAAGAGCTGGAAGAGCCTGGAGATGGATTTTCCTTGCCCCCAGTGCAGGGAGGTGTTCAAGGAGAAAAGCCTCAGGCCCAATCGACAGTTGGCCAACATGTCTGAGATCATCAGCCAGTTCATCCTGCATGGTGGGAAAGGCCTTGAGGAGGACAGGATCTGCGAGAAACACAGGGAGGCTCTGAAGCTTTACTGCAAAGATGACCAGAAGACCATCTGCGTGGTGTGTGACCGGTCTCGGGACCACCGACCTCATGCTGTGGTGCCTGTAGAAGAGGCAGCCCAGGAGTACAAGGTACGTACCTGCTAGTCCATTGCACAAGTATTCTTCCCAGGCGTGCAAACGTCTTGGGTCTACCTGTCTCGAAAATCTTTCCACATTGTTCTTGTTCTTTGCTGAAAAGAACGGGGCACGAGCTTGCACGGAGAAGGTCCTAGTTCAATCCCAGGTATCTCCAAGCAGGGTTGGGGGAAAGCCCATCTCTGAAACCCTGAGGAGCTGCTTAATGTCTGGGTCAAAAATAGCAGGCTGAGATCTGACTCCACAGCTAGGTTCAGACAGCATGCTAAACCCCAAACCTGCTATATCCCCAGAACATGCTGTGTGCAAATAAATAAATAAGCCAGACTGTGACTTAATGGGATGGATGGCCTGTTTCATCCAACATGCAGCCAAGCCAATGGCTAGTTTTCCACATCTACTGAACCAGAAGCTACTCAGTCCCATTTTAGTCTATGTTGTGCAAAGGTAGCCTGTCTTTTTATGTTCCTTAGCTTTTCCAGAAAAAAAAATCTAGGGACAGGAAAGCAATCTAGAGAAGAAATAATGGTAGGCACAAAACATCCAATCAACACTTCCTATCAAAAATAATTGTTAACCTTTCTGTTTTTCCTTTTGACTTCTTTCATTAATATCCCCCCTTTCCTCTAAAAGCTTAAGGAGGGATACATGGGGATTTCAACCAAAAACAACAACCCAGAATGTTGGCCTGAAATATGACAATGGCTGGAGAAGTCACCCAGTGAGCTCTGTGGTTGCGATTGGGATTTAGATCTGTGCCTTGATGGTTCCTTTCCAAAACTTCAACCACTGTCCTGCTGTGATGGAAAAACACAGGAAGACTTCAAATGGAAAACAGGGTCATTTGGATCCCCTGTAAAAATCTGTGCATGAACCCTCGGTGGGTGAGTGGGGGTTAGACAATGTAAGTCCCACCTTGAATGAAATTCCATAACTGTCCCCCAGATTTCATTCCAAATTAAGCCAGGCTCAATCATGTCTGTTGAAAAGTAATGGAATGGTTTTCGTCTTCAGCACTGGGCGAAATGGGGGCTCCTGGATCATTCACCTCTAAGGATTGAACCTCCCAGAATGGAGGTCTGTAACTGGTCCCTGCCCATGTATTTCCCTTTACAGCAGTGTTTCTCAACCTTGGCAGCTTTAAGCTGTGCGGACTTCAACTCCTAGAATTCCCCAGCAAGCATGGCTGGCTGGGGAATTC